CCGCGGGCCCCCGGCGAGCCTCAGGCCCGCGCACGCCGCCCACATTCCGGCAACGAGCCCGGGCCCGCACCTGTGCCCCCGCCCCAGGACCTGCCGTGCCCTGCCCGCTCGGCCCTCCTTCCCGCAGCTCCCTCCGGCACCAACGTGGGCGCCCCCGGCCCCCAAGACGGTGCGGGCGACGCCAGTGTCCCCCCGGGAGAGCCACGCCGGGACAAGTGTGGGCGCCAGGGGCTCGCCCCAAGTCCGTACAAATGCGTGTGTGTGGCCTGCGGGGTGGGCTGCTGCGCAGAAACGGGCAGCCAGGCAGGAGCAGATCCGCGACTCGCAGGAGCTAAACTAGTCCTCGAAGTTACAAAACCACACTTAAAATCCTTAAAACACACATTGCGGGTTAAGATTGTCGGAAAGACCTGTGTTCTTGACTCGGGCTATTACAGGGTCTAAGATTTTTCGGACCCTCTGTTGCTAGACTGCATTGCTTCTCATGCCGATGGAAATTCATGGTGGGATCTTGGGGCTGCTGGTGCTTATCTTAAAATATTTTACTATGGACTGTTTCCTTTAATAACTTCTGTTATACTTCTTCACCTGTAAAACCAAAGGCTCCTTTGGGAAAGAAAACACACACACACACACAGAAAACACACACACCCCTTCTTTCCTTCTTACCTCCTGACAACTAGTGTGCATTTTTCAGTATCTTCTCCCTACACCCCATCCCTCCGGAAGCCCCAGACCTGAGACTCAGTTCCTAAGACTTGGGATTCTGCGCATACTCCCCTTTCTCCGTGTTCTTTCCAGCCAACTCCTGCCTTATCTTACCTAATCGTGAAGGGTGTTTATGTTTGTTTTCTGCATTTCAGTTTTACATAAATACAGCACCTAATTCTGGAATATTTTTAATGCAAAAAGAGAACAACTGTCCATAAGGCTGCCACCACCCACAGATAGCTACCATGGCTAACGTTAACATTTTAGAATGTTTCCTTAGTCTCTGTCTTGCTGTCATACTATAGAGTGTGATTTTAGACGTGACTTTTCTAAAGTCTGCAGAGTTTCATTGCCTTGATATGTCTTAATTTAATTCCACTGGTGGGCATTAGAGTTCCTTTCCATTTTTTGCCAAATACTGCGATGAACATTCCTGTATATAAATCGTTGATTGCGTTTCTGATTGCTGCCTTAGGATAAACTCCTCTAAGTGGAATTACTAGGCCAGAAAGAATGGTTTTTAGGGGTTTCAGTGCATATTGCCAAACTGCCTCCTAGAAAGTCTGCACGGATGTTTAACCATTTCCACCATCACCGCATGAACATGCCCGCTTTGCCATGCCTTCTGTGACAACCAACGTTTTCATCTGCAGTTTTGATAGGGAAACTCCTAGGTTATTTGACTTGGCATATCTTTGCTTGCGTTACAAAAGGTACAGACTTTTTTCATGTTAGTTAATGAGATACCGCGATTTACATAAGAAGAATATATATTTGGTCTTTATTCCCCTTCTTGGCACAGAGCTCCTAAAACCCTTGGAATTTCCTAAGTGATAATAGAGATAAGGGTGTCTTCTTTATTCATTAACAAGCTCCTTTCAAGCACATCTGTTATGTTAATGAGCTGACTTCTGGCAAATCTCTATAGATGGGGTTTGGTTGTCAAGGGAAGCAACCTTGGGATTAGAGGGCAACTTTTAACCCCAGCCCACAACCTCCGGGGAGGCCGACTGGCTGGAGATACAATCACCCACACCCAGTGCCCAGTGATGTCATCCATCAGTCCTGGTCATGAAGCCTCCTCTGGAGCCGGGAGTGGGGGAGGAGGCCGCTTATGGGACTAAGCCCTTTGCCTGGGGGACCTAACACTCTCTTCAAGTAGATGGTGTCAGAATTGAGTTAAATAGGACACCAGCTGGTGTCACAGAGAATTGCTTGGTGGAGGGAAACTCCCACACATTTGGTAGAGAGTATAAAGCTACAGTGACCTATTTGGCAGTCCTTCTCTTCTGAAATGTCCTCATATTCTTTGTCCCTTTTTACAGGGGTTGTTTTTCTTACCTATTTGTATGAACATTTGGTATATTAGTATTATTAATCATTTCATACTTATTGCAGATATTTTCCATGCTCATTGACTTGTGATTTATTATGTTATATGGAAATGTAACTGTCTAAATGGTTAAATCTGTACAAATTTTTTGTGATTTCAATTTGCTTTTAAGTTCAGAGTGTTGTTTCTCAGTCGTAAATCAAATCTTCACTTTTTTCTAGGTCTTTTCTTTTTTTCCCCTCTGTTCATCACATGTCACGTTTGGATCCATGTGAACTTTATTTTGGTATATGGCAAGAGACAAGGACTTAAACCAGTTTTGTCTGGTTTTCAGTGAGCTCATCAACCGCTCCAGCGCTAGTTAATGGAAAACCTCCCACTGAACTGTAATGCCACTTTTATCGCATATTAACTTCCTACGTGTGTCTTTTCTGAGATACTCCACTCTTGAGCTGTCCATCCCAGTACACCCGGGGGGCTACCATTGGGGGGGTTGGGGCCCAATTTCCCCCGTTATTTCTAGGAATCTACCTGGGAACCGGATCCTGTGATTACTTCAGTGACTCTAGCCTCAGAATGGTACATCTTCAAGTGATTTAATAAGTGTTAACAAATACCTGCAAATTTAATCTTGGAATACATGGACAGTGTGTTCTCATTAGCAACTGAGCTTCCTCAGAGCTTGGCACCCCGGGCTCACAGCACCTCAGCGTTCTCAGCCCTGTCAAATGACAAAATGAAAACAATTCAGGCATGAGATTACCCTTCCTTGATTTGAGGGACAACAAGCTGTGGACTGGGGGAGGACAGCGCCTCCCAAGCATGGAGCACCGGGGCGGGATTTGGGGCAAGAGCGTGTGGTGGAGCGAAGCCGCAGTGTGGAAACCAGGGGGCATGACTAGCTAGGAGGCCCTGCTCTGTGGGGTAAGGCGAGCTAGCGGGAGCAGGGTTCCAGGGTTGTGCTCCGTGTGCGTTAGGGGTCCTCGACGGCTGACTTAGGCTGAGAACTGCGACCTGGGCTGGGCGCCGCCGCGGCCTCCATGTTGTGGTCCAGGCACATGAAGAATTCACTGTGTCAGCCCCAACCTAGACATCAACAGACTCTGGGAGGGGATCCCGAGACGCCCAGCGCTGCTGTGAGGGGAGCTAGCTTCTGTCAGCCTCCGGCCCTCTCCTCAGGCCGCCAGCCCACCCCAGCCCCGAGACTGACCAGGCCAGGACTGGCTTTCGCAGGTTCCCCAAATACTGGCCCTGCAGGCTGGAGGGGGAGGCCCCAGAGCGTCTGCTACTCAACTTGGTGGTGATTTGCTTTCTTTGAGTTATTTTGTGTCTTGAAGCCCTTTCATATGCATTACAAACTCGCCAGGGAAGAACCCTCCCCTCCCGTGTGAGGATGGAGGTCAAGTTCCTGGGAAACTTACCCGTCTTTCCAGCCAACTCTCTAAAGACCTCTTGAAAAATTTAAGGTCTAGGTGTTCGTGACTGTCGATTATTCTTGACGTCCTCCTCTTCTTGGGTGCAACAACATTCAAGTAGGCCTCGGTGCGTTCCGCAGGGCTACCTGGCAGGATGCGTGTGAGGTAGCCGCTGGACTTGGCTCCGTCTGTCCCAAATCACAGGGCCGCCTGGGCTTTCAACCTGCCATCTGGGCACCTAGCTCCTTGTGTTTGGGGGAACAGGGACATGAGTTAATGGAACACTTGGTTACAAGGATATAATCCACACCTGTCACCCTGGCCTACGAGGCCCTCCGGGACCAGGGACCACTCGCCGGTCCGGACTGGTCTCGTCCCCTCTCCTTAGTTATGGGGCCGCTGCCCCGGCCCTGGGAATCTGTTCATCTCCCAACCAAGCGTTCAAAACGACTGCACTTGCTCCCCGGAAGGCTCTTCCCCTGGCCCAGCTCAGCAGGGCTCTTTCACGTTCCTCAGGCCTCAAACCAAATGTCTCCTCCCCACGCAGGCCTTCCCTGACCCACCGATCGAGACGAATGGCTTCCTCCCGTCACCTTCTCTCCTTTACTTCATCCTGTTATTTCCTTCCCAAATCTTTTCAAAATTATAATTATCTTTTTAAAATTATACCGTCGGCGTTGGTCTCCCCAACCAGAAGGCAAGCTCAGTGAAGCCAGGCCCCTGGTTTGCCCTGAATGCTACTGATTCCACAGGGCCTGTGACAGAGGGAGCCATCCAAAATGGGCCGTTCATGGAGTCACGAGAGGAAACCCTGGCCTCCTCGGTAGGAGGGGGCTGTGGCTCTCTGTCGGGATTGCAGGAGAGGGCCGGGCGGGAGAACCAAGAGTGACAGCCAGTGGCAGTCCCAGTTTCTAGTACTACTTGCTTCAAACTCTGCTTCGGGTCCGGGGAACCTTAACCTTAGCCTCCTGTCAACTAGCTGTGGAGTCCCGCCGCGAAACACCAAATGCGGATGGGCCCAAGGTGCAGGCCTGTGCTCGTTATGAAGGACTGTTTCTCCCTCTAAATTGTCTTTGACCTTTGCCCCCAGCGGGATCATCTGCTCGCAGGGGCTAGCAAGCAACAAAACAGATGAACCAAGAGCCAGTTAACGTCACCGGAACCACCGCCACAGCCTACTTGAGTAGCTCGGCCAACGGGGAGGCCTTGAGCCTGATGATTTTGGCCCTACGAGCAGTCTCGGGGTGTGGTCCTGTTTCTGCTGGCGAAGCTGCTTTCCTTTACGGGCGGAATTAAGTGCATCAGAATGGCACGTGTTGCCTAAAACACCGACCGTGGGGAGACCCGGGCACATGTGCCCACCTGCACACACTTGGGAGGCACCGCTGCGGCCCAGGTTGGAAAAAGAAGAACCTGGGCTCCTATTTCTGCCAAAGGAAATATGACACATTTCCCTTTCTTCTTCCCTTTTGATTTTTGTCAGAACCACACCCTAGCCGTGAACACACTGATCAGAGAGGAGTTAGTCCGGGCCAGGACCGCCTGACACTAAGCACTCCGTCGGGCTCGTCCCGTCAGATGGTTTGTGTGGCTTCATTCCGCTGACATTTTCTTCCCTGGCTTCGCTTGGCTCTCCATTCATGCGGCACTCCCAGCCCTCCTCCTCTCCCTGCCCTCACCTCCCTTTTCTCCCCCGATCGATCTCGATCAATCGATCAATCGCGGACACCGCTCCACCAGGATCAGCAGAGCTGGTGCAGCAGGCCGCGTGCCAGGCACCGGTCGGCCGGTGTGGACAACTGCCGTGCTTTGGTCTCGCAACAGCCCCCAGGAACAGGCCTGCGATGTTCCAGACGGGGAGGGAGGTGCCCAAACTCTGAGCCCAGAGTGGGGGCGGTGTAAACACAGGGAGGAGTTTGAGCAACTCCGTGTGCCATTGTGAACGTTCATTCAGTCATTCACACGTCACTCAGTAGACATTGAGTGCCTGCCTTGTGCCTGGTGGCCCTGGGTGTTGGGGCCGTAACAGTAAGTGATAGATTTTTTGGTAGATAAACAGCCAGTCAGCCAGCTAACCACAGATACATAAATGAGCAGCAGATAAGTCCTGGCCCTCATGGAGTTTATATCCCACTGGGGGCGAGGGTGGGGCGACAAGAAAAGGTTGAGAATGGGAGACGGTAAAAAGGCTGCAGGGAGAGAGCAGGAAAGGGGCCCGGGGAGCCCCAGCTGCAGCTGCTGGGGGTGGGGGTATGCGGTCAAGGTGAAGACGCTAATCGGGCAGCGTCCCTGAGAAAGGAACACTGGAGCAGAGAGAGCCAAGGGAGGCGAGGGAGGGAGACCTGTGACGACAGAAGAGCATTCCAGGCCAGGAACTGGCAAGTACCCAAGTCCTGACTTGCCTTCAGTTCTTGGAAAATACAGCAAATGCCACTGTTAGTGGAAGCTGGGGGTTGGGCGGGCGGGTGGGGGGAGCAAGGCTAATAGGAGAGGTCCCGTCCCCAAAGGAGCAGGAAGAAGGCCAGGTCATTGTTCATGTTGCACGAAAAGAGGGCACCCTTGGTAGCACGTTCCAGAAGATGTACAGCCCTCCAGGGAGAGCACAGGATAGTATTGCGGGGGGAGGAAACTGGAGATCCGGGAGTCCAGTGCCCACACTCCTGGAGGGGCGGCTCTCCGTGGGCCCCCCACCCCCCCGCCGCGGGCCACATTCCAAGGGCTCGCTGGACGCCTAGTGAGTGGAACAGAATTGCCGTGGGTGGCAGATGAGCGGTCACGTGGCATGAAAGATGTGCAGGGGTGCCCTGTGAGGCCCCCTCGGGACGTCGTGAACAACAGAGGCATGCAGGTGTGCATCGGGTAGATGGTGAGAGACCTAAGCCCCAGCTCTACAGAACATCTGGGTACTGGGTGACATTAGACGTGCGGGCAGGAAGAACGGATCCAAAAAAAATAGGACGAGGATGGGTCTTTTTGGTGTTTTTACGTAAGACAAAGGAGAAGAGAAGGGAGTTTTGTGGGAATGTCGATCATTGGGTTAAGATGAAAATGTAATATGGAAAGCCATGAGCAGACAGTGACAAAGGAGAAGGTGTAAGTAAGTGCAGGATCAATACGGGTACACAACAGAGTTCTGCAGTGAGTAAGCTGGTGGGTATTTTAGCCGAGATGGAGACCGGAGCTACTGACCCTCCTCTGTGAAAGGGAACAAAGGTGCTAGGACAGTTTGTGAAGTTTCTTTTGATTCCATGACTCAGGAGAGGGCACTTCAGGGGTCTTGAGAAGCAAGTGCCAGTGGCAAGAGACGGTGGTTCACCAACATCCACCACAGCATTATTTCTAGTCTTACAAAGTAATGTCGAACAACGTAATATATACAAGTGTACTCACGCTATCATGGTGTTTACAAAGCGGGATACAAACATACAGTTATGCGAGCGCAACTGTGTAAAACAGCATTATGGAAGGAAATGTGTTGTTAAGAGTGGTTATTTCTACAACCCGAAGGTACAGATGATTTTTAGTCGTTCGCCTATTTTTCTAGTGTTCTACAATCAGCATCTATTGCTTTGTTGTAAACAGGAAAAAGTTCAGCTAAAAAGGGTGACGGTGACTCAGCAGTCTCCCCAGTTACCCTCTGAAGGAAGCAAGGCTTATTGTGAAAGGGAATTAAAAAGCTCACGGTGGCAAGAACGTGATTGCTAGGATTGTTAAAGGCCAAAAAAGCCAGGGTGGGCTCCTAGGACAGCAGAGGAGGGGAGTGCCATGGGCTTTTCCAGCCAAACATCGTAAGCTTTCACTATGAAACATTTAAATGACAAAGAAGCTAGGACCAGCCTCCAGCCTCTTAGTCCACGAGGTCCTGAAGTCTGTCCAGATGTCCTACAGGACACGAGCAGCAGCCAGCCCAGCGCTGTGCGGCCCCACATCCTGTTCCCAAGTGCATGTTCTTTCTCTCCCTCCGGGCACCTTCTGTTCTCACAGAACAAATAAGGGATGTGGTCAGACACCCCTTCCTTCCAGTCAGCTGTGGGAAAGAGGGAGGGCCCGCTCCTCCCCAGGGGACCCTTCAGACGCTGCCCTCCGGTGCTGACCAGATGTCACTCTAGTTTGTCCCCAGCACCTGTTGTCTTCTGAGGCCTAAGGCCAGCAGCACTGAGTTCCCAGGGCTCTGGGCTGTCAATGGCCATTTTATTCCACACTGGAAGATTTACAAATATAAAGGTATCGTATGCAGACGACTGTTGTAGGGGCCAATTTGGAGAAGTCCTTTGGAGTAAAAATGGAGTGAAAAGATTTTTCAAATATGATGAGGAAGGGGTCTACTACATGACAGGGATTACCATGAAGTTTTCTGCAGGTCAATTGGGCAATATGCAATAAAATCACCAAAAATTTTTTTTACTTTTGACTCTGATTGTACTCTTAGAGATCTAGCCTAAGGAAAAATCAGAATCGTACAAGCATCTTCCCTGATTGTCACTTATAATGGTGAAAAATGGACACAATCTGTCTGATAGTGTCATGGATAAATCTACGACATGAGCTATTACACAGCCATTAACCACGTTTTTGAAGACCATTTAACAGCTTTGAAAAAAGGTTCACAATAGTCAGTGAGAAAATCATTGTGGTCAACTGTATGATTATTTAAAAATACACCACATAGGAAAAAAATATTGGTAGAAAATTAACAGTGATTCTATGTATGCGGTGGGAGAAGAGGTGATTTTTCTATTTTTTCTTTTAAAAATGACTTTCCAAGATTTCTATAATTACTGTTGTCAGGAAAAAATTGTAGACACTTAAAAAGTAGGGAGTACGACTGTGTGATTTCATTACCGGGTGGCCTCTCGTCTTCACCAAGTCCTGACTCCCAGAGCCGGGCAGCTGAGCTCACAGGGCTCAACCCCAGCTCACGTGAGAACATGCTACAGAGCTTCTAGAACAACCAGTGCCTGGCCCCAACCTCAGAAGTTCTGATCTGACTGGTCTGGGTCCCACTGAGGGTGGTTCTTCCAGCTCCTGGGTGGTGCTGCTGTCCCCCACGGAGCCTGTAGCACCGTCCTCCCCCTCCGGGCCCCCAAGGAGCGGCGGCTCCTTCACCCTCGACGAGCCCACCCTCGTCAGGACCTGAGCAACTCCCTCAGACGTTTCCAGTGGCTTGTGGTGTTGAAAGTGCAGCGAAGCCCCTGTTGAGAGGGCATCAGTGTGCACGTTTCAGGCACTCCCAGCTGCCCCGCGGGGGGCCCTTCCCCCTGAACTTGGCCCCGAGAGGCGGCTGAGGACTCACCGAGTGGGTGCTGCCTGGAGGCTCCCTCTAACTTCTGGTTCCCGCTGGGGTCGGGAGGAAGGGTGCCACGGGTGTTTACGGAATTCCAGGAGCTGTGAGGACGCTCACGGATGTGCCTTCCCGCAGGTACCCGGAAGGCGGCCGTGCCAAGGGCAGGGGAAGATGACCACGCCCAGCCCGAGGCAGGGCGCACAGCTGCGCTTCCTGGCCATCATGGCCGCCACGGCGGCGGCCATCTCCCTGCTCTTCTATGCTCTCCTCTGGAAGGCCGGCAACCTCACGGACCTGCCCAACCTCAGAGTCGGCTTCTACAACTTCTGCCTGTGGGACCAGGGCACCGGCTCCCTGCGGTGCCGCCAGTTCCCTGAGCTGGAGGCCCTGGGCGTGTCGCGGGTCGGCCTGGCCCTGGCCAGGCTTGGTGTGTATGGGGCCCTGGTCTTGATGCTCTTCGTCCCCCTGCCTCTCTTCCTGGCCTGGTGCCACAGCAGCAAGGGAGAGTGGCGGCTGGCGGTGGGCTTCCTCGCCACGTCCTCCTTGCTGCTGGCCGGTGGCCTGGGCCTCCTCCTCACCTACACGTGGAAGTGGGTCAGGCTCTCCCTGCTGGAGCCCGGGTTTCTAGCTCTGGGCACCGCGCAGGCCTTACTCGTCCTCTTGCTCATGGCCACGATCGTGTTCCCTCAGAGGGCGGAGGACAAGAGCAAGCTGGACAACTACTAGGTCTGTCAAAAGGTTAACGTGATCGCCAGAGTTCAGTTTGAACTATGCTCAGAGAAGGTGCCAGAAACTTGAGGGGCTGGTATGTCTTCTCAGCCTGTTTGATAGCGAATGCCCATCTCAAGCCCTAGGAGCCAGGCCCCGCCACAGAGAAGGTGGGGTACCTAGAGTCAAGAGGCCAGGAGGCAGCAATGGCGGGACTTCCAAGGTTCCCAAGGGCACCCCCAGACCACACAGCTCACCGTCCTGAGAACTCCTGCTTTCCTGCACTGATCTGAGCAAGCCATTCTCACTTCATCCTCAGGCTCATGGACAGAGGACTCCTGTCACGAGGCCTGACTTCCAGAACGATTTGCCAAATGTCAAACTAGAACCCAGTTAAGGTTTATGTCAACCAATGGGGAACATTATGAGAGATAGCGAGCTCGCCTCGGTGTCTCTTGGGGCTCCCGGTTAGCAGGCTCCCCCTCTCCATGGTGGGTGCGATGTGATGAGCCCCCTTTCCCTAATACCACTCCCGAAGGCCCAGGAGTGATCCCTTGAGGGATTCACTAGAGACCGAACCCGTGGGCACAAAGAGAAGCCTTGGTGGCTCTGAAGGCTCTCCTGGAAAGGCTCCTGGACCCGAGGCCAGACAAAGCAGGGGCGTCAGCAGGCAAATCGTTCCTAGCACGGGCCCTGGGAGTTGGGAACAGAATACACCAAATCCCCAGAGAGGTGAGGAAGGTGAACAGAACAGCTCCACGTACATACTGATGCTGCATCCCTTCACTTCTCCACCCAGAAGTGCAAAGGAGAAGAGCACAACCTCCGCCTTGTGGACCGGTTTGTATTTCTGAGCACCTGCATGTCGGAAAACCTGTGCAGCAAATGCCCGCCTCATTCCATCTGTCCAAGGCCACCCTGAATAGAGACAGAACTGGGGACTCTGGCAGGATCTCGGCTGCAGAGTCTCCTGCGGGCTCCTGTCCCAGTCTTGCTTCCCAACTGCCCGGGGACTGAGGCTGAGCCGCCGAGTAGAAGGAAGGTGGCAGCGTGGGGGGCGGAGGCCTTCCAGTGCAGATCCCTGTGGGCAGGACATCTGCCTCCCGGGCTGCACAGGGGATGGAAACAGGCTTCCTCCTTAGGGAGAGATCCCGCTGACTGTCGGAATTCCAGTGAACTTAGCAGCTATACTCCTTCTTCTTTCAAATTTATTAAGTTGACTCTACGACGGTTCCAGTAAGTGTGACCCCCTTGTCCACCTTTCCCTGAACCTGGGAAGTGAATAAAGCCAGACCCTCAGAGTGGAGGAGGCGCAGCGCAGAGAGAAATTCTATGGTTCCTCACTTCCACACACTCAACGCGACAGCTCCCAAGGCCCAAAGCCTCCTGGGCTTCCCCTCCTTGGTGCATCTGCCAGCCCAGGGAGGGGAGGACTGGGCCTCTTCGGCATCCTCGGCCAGGCCCCAGGCCGGGAAGGGAAGCCGGCTTCCCTCAGCGCCCTGGGAAGGAAGTTCTGGGAAGTCTGTCCCTTAGCTGAAAAATATCTCCCTGACATATTTTAACATGTCCTCGTCCTCCTCAGGGCTCCTGCTGCACGCAGAGTCAGACCCCGTGGGCCCCTGAGGAGGGCGGAGGCCTGGAGGAAGGGCGTCTTTCCCATTGTCCTCATCCTCACTTCTACTCCCAGGAGAACTCGGTGACAACGTTGAGCAGGTTGGGGACAGCTGTGGTTTATCAGCGCCCGCCAGGGTCAGCGGCTCCAAGGGCTTTTCCTGTTTCCGGGCCTGCGGGAGTAGGACAAATGACAGGCAAAACAGACATTATGTTATTTCCCGAGTGAACGTGACAGTTTATCCGTCAGCAATGCAGAAGCCACCGTGAAGCCCAGCGTGTGACCGGGTCAAGCCCTGCTCCTCCCGCTCCCCACCTTTCTACCCCTCACAGCTCCTGTAGAAGTCAAGACCAGTGTGGGAGAGACGTGGGCAGGGGCCTGAAGAATACCAGAGTGGAAAAGAAAAACAGGAAAAATATATCTGGAAAGGCAGGGGTGACAGAATGGAAGGAGCAGGGGATACAAAACTTGAGTGTGGGCCTAAGCTCTGGCACTTATTGGCGGTGCAACTAAGGGGAAATCCCTGGGCCTCGATTTCTTTATCTGTAAAATGGGGATAATATCTGAACTAACGATCACCAGGTGATGGCAAGGATTAAATGAGACAGTAATACATGAAAGTATCTGGTCGGCTACCCAATACTAAGGCGGTACAATTACACTCCGCCTCAGAGGCCAGGGAGGCATTCGGCTAAGGAGAAGTACAATGGTCAGAAGTCACCAACTGAGACCCTTCGGAGAACATAAGCAGTTAAAGACTTCCCGTCCCCTTCCACATACCAGCAGAGTCACCCCAGAGACGGCTGCCCTCCCTCCCATGTCCAGACCCAAACATTAAGTCCCACCTCGCGTGGGGAGAGGCCGAGGGGAGCGCGACCTTGAGAGAAGTGCCAGACAAGGGCCTGGTGGAAGAAATGGGACGACAGATGACGCCTCCCTCCCCCAAGGCCGCCTGAGAATGCACGGCGTCTCTTTTGTTGCCATTAATCAAGGGCCCAGTCCAGTTTCTGGTCCTCCGAGTAAGAAGAGACGCAGCTGCCTGTACCTCAATCAGGGTCCCCAGAGCGACATCCACCATTTCAGCTTCACTCATGCAGTACACGGTCCTCGCCGCGGCAAGCCTGAAAGGAAGGCATGATGCTAGGATGGGGACGGACGGGTCTCAGGTCTCAAGAGGGGGAAGAACACGAGAGCAAGAGTCACATCCCCAGGCCTACCCACCCGCCACCGCTTTCCAATCTGGCCGGCTCCTGAGGGTCAGTGCCCCACGTGCAAGGGACACCAGCAGATCAAATAGATCATCGCGCCCAGACACGACTGACCCCCAACCTGCACCCATGACCACAGTAGAGCAGGACTGCAAGTCAGAAGGGAGGTGGGTCCAGTTAGGACAACTCAGAAAAGGAAGAGCCAGGGAGGGGGGGCACTGTAGTGCCCAGTCTAGGAGAATGCAGGGACGTCCCCTCCCCGGCAGCCCGAAGACTCCCCCAAATTACCACCGTTCAACTAACTGGCCCTGCAGCTTCTGATTCCACGCTGGCCCAGCAACTGCTACTCATCTGTCCGTCCCTGAAGATTTGCCCGTGGGGAGGCTGGACCCTGGTCCACTTAGCTTGACCCCTGGCTGGTCACAGTTTTTGGTGCAAATGAAGAGCCTGGCATTTTGGACAAGTGGTGTCTGAGAGCTTGGCTAATGTGTGCAAGCCAGAGGGGGAGCACTGCCTGGGGGCTGGCCCTTGAGGGCCTGGCTGCGGAGATGCACCCGCAGAGGCGGGGTCTGTCTGTGAGGGGAGGGCTCACTTCACCCCTGCAGGCTGTGCACCTGCGAGCTGAAAAGGCTTCTGCAGGGCTGAAACACCCACCCACCTCCCTGTGGAAGGCTCAGCCCCAGCAACTGCTACGCCCCCAAACCTTCCCTCCTCCTGATTCCCCTAGAACCCCAGCCGGAAGTTGTCCCACCTTGCTGCAACAGTCCTCTGCGCTGCCGCCGGCCTTCTCCTTCCCTTGGGGGTCTTCGCTGGAACCTTTCTCTTCTCGGCCTCCTGGGCTGTCATCCATGTGGGAAGGACCCTCTTTTTATCGTCAGATTTTAAGTCTCCCATCTCGCTTTTCTCTCCTGAAGATGAGTCAGGGCCCAGGCTTAATGATTTGCTTTTCTAATTCAGGACAGCAAACCCCATGCTCATCACATCAGGAATGATAGGTCTGTGTGTCCTGGAACAAAGTCCAGTGAATTCTAAGAAGTTAGAATACTTCCAGTCATCAGCTATAATTACTGGTCAGGACAGGCCAGAGGTTAGCTGGGCAGAGAGCAGAGCCCAGGAGACTAAGACAGGCCACTCCCCCTGTCCTTGCCATCCAAGGTGCTCGCTGCCCTCAGGGTGCCCCACCTCTCCTACTCTTAGCATATCTCTCACGATCTCCCCCTCATCTCCCCAACTCCAGACTTATTTCCTCTACCTTGGTGTGGTTACAGGGAACCCCAAGACCCTTTTGATCCCCAGTAAGGTTGAATCAACTAACACTCCCTCCCTTAATCCAAAGATACTTCTGACTGGCCAGATTTTAGCCAGTGGTAGGGATCAGGGACCACAACTGATGCTGGCTTTGGGATGGGAGAATCCCAAAGGCCCCAGGGCAGCCTCTCATCTGACCTGGTCTCTCTTCTCCCTTCCCCCTAACGCTCAGTCCCCACCCTGGGGCTCAAAGGGTACAAATCGAATCCTGAAAGCAGCTTAGGGCTCCGCCTAGGGAGGAGCTTACTGGAGTAGATGTTTGCCTAGAAAAGGGTCAGCCCCGAATAAGGGATCCCTCTCTGAATCATAGTCATTAATTGCTCATTTAGGCTGTTTACAACTTAAGAAAAAAATGAGCAGGACGTCATTCTAACCTTTCTGGCCAGAGGACAGACCTTGGCCAACGTACCTCGTTGCAGTCCAAATTCAGGCAACGTTAATAGTCATTCCCACAACTAACGAGCACTGCTAACCGCCAGGCATACGGACATTTATTCGACCCCAAGGCAGATATTATCAAGCCCATTTTACAAACGAGGAACTGACTGCAATGTGCACAAGGTTACAAAGTTTGAAATGGCCAGCCAGGACTCGCAGCCGGGTCGTGCAGGCCAAACCTTGCGCCTAACCGCCGCCATGCTGCTGGGGCTCCAAGGAGGGCAGAGTCCCGGCGGGGAGGGCCGGGGAGGCAGAACGAGCCCGCGCTACCTGGGGGGAGACCGAGCTCCGCACGCTCGGGATGGGCCCGGCACTCCCAATCCACCGCCCGCCGCTGCCTCGGGGACCGTGCGCCGCCCCGACCGCGGCGAGACGACTGCCAACCTGCGGGGGCGAGAGCGGAAGGGAGGCACGTGGACCTGCACGCGGGGCCTGGCGGACCACGGGAGGGAGGCCGCCCGCACGCTCGCTCGCGGCCCCGATGCTCCGGGCAGGGGGGCAGGGCGGAGCTCAGTCC